TACAGTATATATACAGTATATTGTGCAAACAAGTGTAAACAAAAAACAAGATCAAAACAAGTATTACAAATAAGTAATAAAACAGTAAAGAATATTAACTAAGTAAAAAAGTAAAAAATCCACAATAACTAAAATATAATATATTCAGACAGAATAATAATAAAGTTTAAATTGAGATAATTCAGTGGATTACAGATCCAGAGGGATTAGACAAAAGAACATATATTGAGACATTTGAGTCAGTTAATGTGATTTAATATAGATTTCACAGTAACATAAGAAATGTAATTAATATTTAAGGACCAGATGTACTGTGCTAAGTGTTTGCAGCAAAATGGTGATTATTACATGTATGTCCATATAAATACAAAATGCAGGTGTGTGCTACTATTAAGTGTGAGAGCAACATTGTTTCTTGATTTAATACCTTTATTAAAAACATTTGAGTTGTGTGTAATTGTTGTGCCGGTGGACTCGAGGATCAGACTGAATGAAGCACTCAGTCACCAGAGAACAAGAGACCAACATGAGCTAAAGATAATCTGATTAAATGACTTGTCTCCGTGGTCACAGGCGGCGCTAACAATAGCAGACACATTTCACAGGAATAACAGACGGAGAGTCGTGAATAGCTGAAGATCAGACATCCTTATTGTAACCTCTGATGGTTCAAATCTCTCAGAGCAATGAGGCGCTTGTGGAAAACAGAAGGTTATTATGTCATGGCTGTGTCAACAACATCTCGTGTTGTTGTGCAGCTAAAATTGATTTCATGGCTTTTCACAACAAGTGTGTCGGTGAAGAATGGATTATTTTGAGGGCAGCAACGTGTTTCAACAACTGTATGAATTATGAATACATTTTTTATAAAGTACAAAAATGTTGTTTAGTTTGGTACAAATCCAAAATCACTATGACGACTGTGTGGAAAGGTAACAAGTCAGTTGCAGCTTAATTTAAAGCACACAAGGGCATAATTATACTATATTATATTATACTGGATTATAATTACTGATGTGTTCATAACTTTAATGTTGCAGCTGGTAATGGTGGAGCTCATTTCAACGACTTAATCTATATTAATAAATCATGATTAGTTTGTTGATTTTGTATAAATAATCTTAATATGCAAAGTAATTTATCAAACCAATGTAATCCAGTAAAAAGTCTAATATTCTCCTCTTAAATGCAGTAAAGGGTGAAAGTATATAAAGTTGCAAAAAAAAGGAAATACTCAAGTAAAGTACAGTAACTAAGTACAGTACTTCAGTAAATGTACTTATAGCTTCATCCACTTGTGACCAGCTGATCACAGCTGACTTTGAAAGCATCGTTGCTGGTGTGTTTGAGGACATGCGGCCTCCAGCGTTCATCAGAGCTGTGAACCGGAACACAAACACACACACACACACACACACACTCACACAAACACACTCACACTTTATCACTCATATGAACAGAATCGACATCGATCCGGATCAAACTCTCTGCTGGAAAACCTGCACAAATCTGAAAAGAAGAGAGCCGTCAAAATGAGAGTGTATGTGTATGTGTGTGAGTGTATGTGTATTAAAAAATTTGGGACAGCTGTCCCAAATTTTTTAATACTGTAAGTACTCGACAAAATAAGAGCTTTGGGACGGCCGTCAATATGGCGGTGTAGAACAACTTCCGGTTCAAGCGAGGCTCGAGGAGCGAGGAAATGAGAATTAAGAGACTTGGGATGTACCCTATGTCTCTCGTTTGCACAATCCACTATTTGCATGTATATATTTTATATATTTTATATATTTTATATATTTTACATATTTTATATATTTTATATATACACACTATATGCTGCTGTAATGCTGTAGTCGCTGCGGGACTAATAAAGGATTATTTTATTGTATTTTACACTCCGGTACAGTAGATGGCGGTAATGCACCTTAAACGGTGGTTTGTTGTCTACCAATAAACTGAAAGAAGAAGAAGAAGAAGAAGACGAAGAAGACGAAGAAGAAGCGGCTCACGCTGTTCCTGCTGGTGGTAACTGGTCGGTTGTAACTACATCATGGCTGCTTCTAAGCCAGTCGAGCCGCAGGCCGGTACCGGACTCCCCCGCTGGCAGCTGGCCCTGTTGGTCGGGACCCCCATCGTGCTGGGAGTCGGAGCGGTGTACCTCTGGAACCGCAGCCGGTCGAAGGACGGCAACAAGCGGACCGGAGAGCGGAAGACACCCGAAGGCAGCGCGAGTCCTGTGGTGCAGGGCCAAGAAGACGGAGCAGCTCGAGAGCCGAATATGGTAAACATGGTAAACGTTTACCGGGAGAAACGGGTCCTTCCTCTGCTGTTACTACGTACTGTCTGCTTCGGTGCTCCGCGGACACTTTGCTGAATTAACGGGTCATGTCCGTTAAAAGTCCCGTCAAGGACACCGACTGTCAAGTGACAGCTACGTTCAAAAGCAGCAAGGCAGTGGATTAGCTAGTGTTAGCTGCTAGCCAGCTAATGCTGGTTAACCTACCTAGCTAGCTGTTAGCTGCTAAGTAGCTAGCTAGGTTAACCAGCTCCAGTGCAAATGTTAAAGCAAAGGCATGTTAAGATAAAATAAGAGAATCCTTTATTAGTCCCGCAGTGGGGACATTTACAGGATTACAGCAGCATACATACATACACACACACACACGCTCAGTATAGTGCAAACAAGATCAAAACAAGTATTATAAATAAGTAATAAAACAGTAAAGAATATTAAAGTAAAAAATCCACAATAACTCAAATATAATATATACAGACAGCTGCACTGCTTTCTGTTATATGTATTTTATTTTCACAAGCTTTGAATGCAACAAATGTTTTAATTACGTTCTTTCACTTTCTATATTAATCCTATGTATGTACATGTAAACATACTGTATATATATAATTTATGTCCACTAGTTGTGTAGTTTACAACTTACACTTGGCTTGCACGTAGATGTTTTATTTAATTTTATTGTTGGTCATTGTTGCTTTTTATTATGTATATTTACATATCAAAGTACGTTTGTACATACAAGGAATGTTGCTTGGTGATTGGTGCGTGAGAATAAACCGTGCAATAGTAAAAGATGTCATTGAAGATGGAAAGTGACGGTGGTGTTATTAAGTCTCTGCTAACAGTTTAAACCCGGCTAATGATTGAATGTTCTTGTTTGTATTGGTAATGAAATGTAAGACATTAACATAATTTAGTATAATATGGTACATTATGATATAGCATGGGATACGAGACATAGTTTAAGGTGTCGTATAACAAGTTTATATTATTATAATAATAATAATAATAATAATAATAATAATGTAACAATATAAATTCTAATAACATAAAATCATACAATATGTATCGGGGCTGTTAGTGAGAGAAGTCTTTGTGTCTGTTTTGAATCCTGCATCCTCTAAAGAGAACAAACATTCATAAATATGAGTTCCTAATGTTATATATAATATGTAACTGTGAGAAATCCTTATTATTTCAGGGGCTGCCCCTCTTACACGATTAGACTTAAATAATCTATTAGTTGTTTTTTATGTTTTTTTTACATGCTGAATGACTATAAGAAACGTGTAAACACAAGATTTAAATAATAATAACTTTTATTTGATTACCACCTTTAAAGTCCGAGTTTACAAAGTTAAGCAATATAACAGGAAGTCAGCAGTGAGGCCCAACAGCAGGAAGATGCACTGTAAACTCTCATAAAACAATAACTACAAAATAAAATGCATGTCATTCTTTTTGGTGAAACTTTTGTAGTTTTAGAGATCTGTGGTTTAAATCAATTAAACGATTAGTCGACTAATAATTTCTTTGTTGGAGGAAAGTCTTAATTATTATTATGAGCTTTGAGCTGTGAGATCATTAATATCATGATTGATTGAAAGAAAGAGGAACCGTTACCTTTTCTCTTGTCTCACTCAGAGCCCGTTGGATCGAGCCCAAGCAGCCAAGAACAAGGGCAACAAGTACTTCAAGGCCGGCAAGTACGAGAACGCCATCCAGTGCTACACAGAGGCCATCGCTCTCTGCCCCACAGAGAAGAAGACCGACCTGTCGACGTTTTACCAGAACAGAGCAGCAGCCTACGAACAACAGGTCGGCGTCGCCTTCTTACCATCTGAGCAGGGACTGTTGTTGATGTATGAAATACTTACCTGATGTGCAACAGCGTGCAGAGATCTCTTCGTTAGGAGGGATGTTAGTGACGGTGTTACGTCCGTCTTTTGTTGTAATGAGAGTGTAGCGTTGAGTCTGCATTGTGTGTTGTACGTTGCAGTTTGGGACAGGTTGTCCCTTTTCTAAATGTCTCCAGAGGTATTTACTGGGTTGAGGTGCTTGTAGATGGAAAGCCATGCAGGTCAATACATGTTGCTCTTCATTGGACTTGAAATAAACCTGAAGTGTCTTCAGTTCACCCGATCGTCTCCTCACAACTTAAAGCCAGAAGAGAAGGAATGCAGCGATCAGAGGTTTCTCCCCGTTGGTCAATGAGTAGCACATTCTATGCAAATCATCTCAAATCCTTCCACCTTTGTGTTTGAATGAAGGTTTTTTGTCACTGATCTTAAAGTGACAGTAGTGATGTCATGTAGTGTGTCTGTATGAGGTTCTTCGCCACAGTCAGTGTTCTACTGCAGTAGACGAGTCTCTGTTTCAGTAGAACACTGACTGTGGAGAAGTACCTCATACAAACACACTACATGACATCACTACTGTCACTTTAATGTAACCTCGTGAGGTTTCACATTAGCTGATGTTGAAGCTTTGACACAGACGCTGTTCTGTTTTAAAGATTAGTTTTGTACATTCATCTCCAGATATCTTGGTTTCATTTTGAAGCCTTCTCTGCGGTGCACAGACCTCTGTGTTTACCTACAGATGAAGATAACCAGCTCATGACTCTCGTTTCAGATGAAATGGACAGAAGTGGTTCAGGACTGCTGTCGGGCCGTGGAGATGAATCCACGCTATGTGAAGGCTCTGTTCAGAAGAGCCAAAGCTCTGGAGAAACTAGACAACAAGAAGGAATGTCTAGAAGGTGACACACTTCTTTCACTTTCTGAAAAAAAATGTTCTTCTACGAGTGAAACTTCAGGTATTTAGGGTTTGTTTCCTGTGTGTCCTGCAGACGTCACAGCGGTGTGTATCCTCGAGGCCTTCCAGAACCAGCAGAGCATGTTGCTAGCAGACAAGGTGCTGAAACATCTGGGAAAAGAGAAGGCCAAAGACAAATACAAGGTACTTTATCCACTTTGTGCCTCATCGCTGCGTGGTTCGGCTCCACTCGGCCCACTTTCGGTACCAGGTCCTTGTGTAGGAGAGAGTTTCAGCTGATAGCTGAAGCACCGCCGACAACTTCGAGGCCGACTGTAGGGCGTAGTTTTGAGGGCGGCCATTTTAGTCTTTGGCGAGTGAATTAAAAATGCACAAAGGAGAAGTTTGCCTTCAGGACTTTTCGCATCTCCTCAGTTAAATTTTTGAAAATCCCAGACTGTTTATAAGAAGTGGTCGTAGCCGTTGTGATGTCTCTCGTTGGTTTGTGGATGTTTTGAAGCCTCAAGTTTGGCGTTTTGGCTGTCGCCTT